CTCTTTTCACCCTCTGTCTGAAACCAGAGCCCAGTCTGCTCTGATTGGTTAGCTCTGTTGTGATTGGTCAACCCGCTTAGAGATGTCCCGCCCACTTAGCATATCACGTAGCCAATAGGAGTGTGAGTGTTACGTGGTGATAACATTTACATTCAGGAATAATTAATAAAAACAATTATGAATTTTGTCTTCGTATATTTCTTTACACATTTTCTTCGCCATTATTTGATTAATTTTTAGGCATTTTATGAAATGTTTCCAACATTTTTTGCCTTTTTTTCAATTTTTTGGGAGATTTTTCAAATATTTAATTTATTTTGAGGGTATGTGTTACGTAGTGATGTCACTAAATGTGTTGTTCCTTCGGTGTGTCGCGGCAGAACGAGGCGTCGATACAACACGATATAACACGATACCTGAGAGATTCAGAAGATCAGGGGGGGGGGGGGGGGGGGGGTCAGAAGAAAACCTGCAGGAGCAAATAAAACACCAACAACCTTTGGGGGGCAGAAAGAGCCTCGACAGAAACACACACGCACTCGCACACACACACACACACACACACACACACACACACACACACACACACACACACACACACACACACACACACACACACACACACACACACACACCACACACACACACACACACACACACACACACACACACACACACATCACACACACACCACCACACACACACACACACATCACACACACACACCACACAACACACACACACACACACACACACACACACACACACACACACACACCACACCACACACACACACACACACACACACACACACACACACACACACACACACACACACACACACACACACACACACACACACACACACACACACACACACACACACACACACACACACACACACACACACACCATTGGAGGTAAACAATAATAGTAAATAAATAAATAATTGTATGAGATAAAATCTAAATAGTTTAATTATATTTCATTTGTATAATTTATTCCAATGCATTAAAATGTATAGAATAATTATCAGAGGATCAATAAATTGCAAAAACCGGTGAATAAAGAAAAATACAAAAATTAAAATGTATATTTTATTTTTAATTAAATTAAAAAAATAAATGATATATATAATAATAATAATTTAATAAAATAATAGGATGAAATAAATAATAATTTATGGAATAAAAAAATGGTAATAGTTTTCTGTCTTTTTGATATTTCTCGACCTAAATGCTCTAAAAGCCCCTTCAGAACAAAAGCACTTCCTCTATGACCGGTTAAAGGTGTCACATGACCTCCTTTAAGGTGTCATATGACCTCCTGCATGACCTTTAATGACATGTAAGGTGTCACATGACCTCCTGTATGACCTTTAATGACATGTAAGGTGTCACATGACCTCCTGTAAGGTGTCACATGACCTCCTGTCTCACCTCCAGCGCTGCCTTCTGCACGGTCACCTGACTGAAGACCCTCGCTCCGTCATCAGGACAAACCGTCCTCAGCTCCTCTTTGTTCAGAGAGAACAGCTGAGCCCCCGTCAGCACGCCCAGACTGGTGATGGTCCTGCAACACAACATCACATCTATCACTACATGACAGGTGATGGTCCTGCAACACAACATCACATCTATCAATACATGTGATGGTCCTGCAACACAACATCACATCTATCACTACATGACAGGTGATGGTCCTGCAACACAACATCACATCTATCAATACATGTGATGGTCCTGCAACACAACATCACATCTATCAATACATGTGATGGTCCTGCAACACAACATCACATCTATCACTACATGACAGGTGATGGTCCTGCAACACAACATCACATCTATCACTACATGTGATGGTCCTGCAACACAACATCACATCTATCAATACATGACTGGTGATGGTCCTGCAACACAACATCACATCTATCACTACATGACTGGTGATGGTCCTGCAACACAACATCACATCTATCACTACATGACAGGTGATGGTCCTGCAACACAACATCACATCTATCACTACATGACAGGTGATGGTCCTGCAACACAACATCACATCTATCAATACATGACAGGTGATGGTCCTGCAACACAACATCACATCTATCACTACATGACTGGTGATGGTCCTGCAACACAACATCACATCTATCAATACATGACATGTGAGGGTCCTGCAACACAACATCACATCTATCACTACATGACTGGTGATGGTCCTGCAACACAACATCACATCTATCACTACATGACTGGTGATGGTCCTGCAACACAACATCACATCTATCACTACATGACTGGTGATGGTCCTGCAACACAACATCACATCTATCACTACATGTGATGGTCCTGCAACACAACATCACATCTATCACTACATGACTGGTGATGGTCCTGCAAACACAACATCACATCTATCACTACATGACAGGTGATGGTCCTGCAACACAACATCACATCTATCACTACATGACTGGTGATGGTCCTGCAACACAACATCACATCTATCACTACATGACAGGTGATGGTCCTGCAACACAACATCACATCTATCAATACATGACTGGTGATGGTCCTGCAACACAACATCACATCTATCACTACATGACTGGTGATGGTCCTGCAACACAACATCACATCTATCACTACATGACTGGTGATGGTCCTGCAAACACAACATCACATCTATCACTACATGACTGGTGATGGTCCTGCAACACAACATCACATCTATCAATACATGACTGGTGATGGTCCTGCAACACAACATCACATCTATCACTACATGACTGGTGATGGTCCTGCAACACAACATCACATCTATCACTACATGACTGGTGATGGTCCTGCAACACAACATCACATCTATCACTACATGACTGGTGATGGTCCTGCAACACAACATCACATCTATCACTACATGTGATGGTCCTGCAACACAACATCACATCTATCACTACATGACTGGTGATGGTCCTGCAACACAACATCACATCTATCACTACATGACAGGTGATGGTCCTGCAACACAACATCACATCTATCAATACATGACTGGTGATGGTCCTGCAACACAACATCACATCTATCACTACATGACTGGTGATGGTCCTGCAACACATCACATCTATCACTACATGACAGGTGATGGTCCTGCAACACAACATCACATCTATCACTACATGACAGGTGATGGTCCTGCAACACAACATCACATCTATCAATACATGACAGGTGATGGTCCTGCAACACAACATCACATCTATCACTACATGACATGTGATGGTCCTGCAACACAACATCACATCTATCAATACATGACATGTGATGGTCCTGCAACACAACATCACATCTATCACTACATGACATGTGATGGTCCTGCAACACAACATCACATCTATCACTACATGACAGGTGAGGGTCCTGCAACACAACATCACATCTATCACTACATGACTGGTGATGGTCCTGCAACACAACATCACATCTATCACTACATGACATGTGATGGTCCTGCAACACAACATCACATCTATCAATACATGACATGTGATGGTCCTGCAACACAACATCACATCTATCACTACATGACATGTGATGGTCCTGCAACACAACATCACATCTATCACTACATGACAGGTGAGGGTCCTGCAACACAACATCACATCTATCAATACATGATGGTGAGGGTCCTGCAACACAACATCACATCTATCAATACATGATGGTGATGGTCCTGCAACACAACATCACATCTATCACTACATGACTGGTGATGGTCCTGCAACACAACATCACATCTATCAATACATGACTGGTGATGGTCCTGCAACACAACATCACATCTATCACTACATGACAGGTGAGGGTCCTGCAACACAACATCACATCTATCAATACATGATGGTGAGGGTCCTGCAACACAACATCACATCTATCAATACATGATGGTGATGGTCCTGCAACACAACATCACATCTATCACTACATGACAGGTGAGGGTCCTGCAACACAACATCACATCTATCAATACATGATGGTGAGGGTCCTGTAACACAACATCACATCTATCACTACATGACAGGTGATGGTCCTGCAACACAACATCACATCTATCACTACATGACTGGTGATGGTCCTGCAACACAACATCACATCTATCACTACATGACTGGTGATGGTCCTGCAACACAACATCACATCTATCAATACATGACATGTGAGGGTCCTGCAACACAACATCACATCTATCACTACATGACATGTGATGGTCCTGCAACACAACATCACATCTATCACTACATGATGGTGAGGGTCCTGCAACACAACATCACATCTATCAATACATGACAGGTGAGGGTCCTGCAACACAACATCACATCTATCAATACATGATGGTGAGGGTCCTGCAACACAACATCACATCTATCAATACATGACATGTGATGGTCCTGCAACACAACATCACATCTATCAATACATGACTGGTGATGGTCCTGCAACACAACATCACATCTATCAATACATGATGGTGAGGGTCCTGCAACACAACATCACATCTATCACTACATGACAGGTGATGGTCCTGCAACACAACATCACATCTATCACTACATGACATGTGATGGTCCTGCAACACAACATCACATCTATCAATACATGACTGGTGATGGTCCTGCAACACAACATCACATCTATCAATACATGACTGGTGATGGTCCTGCAACACAACATCACATCTATCACTACATGACTGGTGATGGTCCTGCAACACAACATCACATCTATCAATACATGACTGGTGATGGTCCTGCAACACAACATCACATCTATCAATACATGATGGTGAGGGTCCTGCAACACAACATCACATCTATCAATACATGACAGGTGATGGTCCTGCAACACAACATCACATCTATCACTACATGACAGGTGATGGTCCTGCAACACAACATCACATCTATCACTACATGACATGTGATGGTCCTG